TTTTTTTCATTTCCTAATTAAGCTGAAAAATAAGGATGAATAGGATTAAAAATATTATTTTAATTGAAATGAAAAGATCTGAAATAAGGAAAAAGAAATTGAGGGCAACTGGAAGTGGATAAATGAAAATTTAATTCTATTTCTTATTTTTTTGTTTCATCATTTTTTCACCTTTATTGTCGTTTTTTGCGACATATTAAATCATATTTTTTTCATTATTTAATTTCATAATAATAAAGACTTGTCGTATGTTTTCCTTATTTTTTGGTTGGCTTTTGGTAGTTTATGATAATTTTTTCATGACTTATCATTTTTCATCATTTTAACATTAAAACATATACAAATACTTTCTTTTTTTATTTAGTTTAATTTACATTATTACGGATTTTTTTTCTTCATTTTCACTGCATTGATTTGATTGAAAAAAATTTTCTTTATTAATTTTATTTATTTTTATTCTTTTAAGTTCATTAGACTTTTTCTTTGTGATTCAAAATGAAGAGAGAATAGAAGGAAATTAACAAAAAAAATATTTCATATTTTTATTTATTAATGAATATTTTTCTCGTGATTTGAATACAATTAGAATGGATTTGATTTAATTTGTGTGAAATTAGTTTGAATTATTTTGATTAAGTTTGAATCAAATAAGGCCTTTTGGAGAATTAAAACTTATAAATTTGTTAAGAAATTTACAGAAATTCTCCTGAATCTAGATCGAAAAACTAAATGTAACTTGATTTATTGTTTTTAATTTAACATTCTTAGGAGAAACACGACCATTTCAGAATTCAAAACTAATTCCACACAAAAATTCTTTTACTTGTCAATCTCCATTTTCTCATTTATTAACATCCGTTCCTATAACATTCAAGAAAAAAAGTCACATTTTTTTCTCGTCACATATCTATATTTTCATTTTAAAAAAGCATATTAGTTTTGGTTATTTCATTGTTGTCATATTTATCGCATTTGAAAACTATTTAACAAGCTAAGTATAAATAATTTTTCAGTAAAAACTTAAATGCTTCCAAACTTAATTAGGAAAAAGACTTTTTACTTCGTCCATAAATCCACTTTTCGCTACCATTTTACTATTTTCATATTTTTTCTTCACTTTTCAATCCTTTTTTTTGTGTAAGCGCAATTTTTTAAAGCAAATTTAAAATCTGAAAATTTATTTTTTTCATTTCATATTTTTTATAAAAAATATAACAGTTTGGTAAATAAACTTTTATTCTTATTAGCTTAAATAAATTTATTTTCACTTCTCATCTTTAATATTTTTTCTTCTTATTTTTTGAGACATCCTTTTTTACCTTTTCAAGTTCTTCAGTAAGCGTTTAATAAAAAAATTTCTTCATTTAACTATTTTTCGGCTAGCATTTTATTTTTGTATTCACAACATTTTTCCAATTTCTGTCACTTTTCGGTTCTTGATTCCTCACTTTATTTTTTAAAAAATATTCAATAAAATTTTTTGGGGATTTTTAACTGTATATGTCGTGTTTTAAGAGTAAAATCTATTCTTTTTATAAGGTTAAGTTTTAAAGATAACCCAAAATTCCCGCCAAAAAACTTTCTCTTAACTGCTTTTGTAGGAAACCAAAATATAAAAAATCGCAAATGAAAATATTGCAGAGTTATATTCCATATCATTTATGTAGGCCTTGTTTACACTTCCCATCCATAATCTTCATCATAATTATTATAAATTCATAGAATTTCGTGCAATTGAAAAATTTTCTTTGAGCTCCGTAACTTTTCAGTGTAAACACCTCTCTTTCTTGATTATTAATATTTCATGACACATACATACGTACAACTTTGTTCTTATTTTCAGCTCAACAATGAGAATATTTAAATTATTAATCCACTTTTTTTCATGGAAATTTTTTTTTATGAAATTTACAATGTAATAAAAATTAATGTGATGTAATTTTTCAGTACGCGAGCTTTTTTCATGCGTTGTCATAATAAATTGAAATGTCATCATGCTTAATTTAATCAGAGATTGTATAAAGAATATGATAAAAATAGACTGATGAAGCAGAAACATTAAATCATACCTAATGTTTGAAATAATAATAGAAATCATGAGCTTTTTGTTCTGACAATTTTAAACATTTATTTTGAATTTTTTGATTTTTAAATTAAGAGGATTTTTTTTAAAATAGAAAATTTAAACTGGTACACGAAATTATATTTAAAAGTTACAATATAGTTCAAGTGAAATTTTCTTGGTAATATGTGGAGAATTTGGTTAAAACTTTTTAATTCTCTTCCTTTTATTAATCAATTATTATTTCAGCATAATGTTGGCTCTTGTGTCACTCTCATCGTAAAGAAAATTAAAATGACTTTTATGTAAAGAATGTTTCACGATTGCATGGTCTTAAAATTTATTTTAAAAAAAAGGACCTTAATAAAGATAAAGAAGAAGAAGAAGAATGTTTTACGAGTTATTAACAATACAAACTTTGTTCTAAACTCCATGAAATATGATTAAAATAATACTATCATGGACGGATGATTATTTATTACGTTTTATTTTGTTAAAAGTGTCAAACAAATTATATCGTTTGAAATAAAATTAAAATTTTTTTAAACTCTAAATTCAATTGTTTTGATCAAATTCACAAATGATGCCATTAAAAACTGAAGCTATTAAACTAAACAAATAGATATTAACTTGGAGCTTTGAAATAATAAAAAATTGGCAGTAGCTTTTTCGAAATTTTTGTATATTTAAAGTCCTTTTTTAAGAATTTTCGATAAATTTTTAATTGTTTTGTGAAAAAAGTTTTTAAAATTACCGATCTCAAGAAAATCTCACAATTGCACGTTGAACTCAAAAAACAATCAAAAAGTGTCAAACTTAAATAGTTTTCTGCAGCATTAAAAATTTCCTATAATAATAGATATGAATCATTCATATTCTTTCTCTCGTTTCATTATAATTCTGTAGAATGTTTGAAGTAATATAGTGTGTCTTCATATTAATTTGATTTTGGTTTGTTTCATTTAAATAATGCTCAAAAAAGTAAAAGAAATTACTAAATAGTCATAAAAAGGTAAAAATAATATTTTATGATAATTTTATTTGAATTTTCGAGAAATACTAGAAAAACTTTGATGCCATTCACCCAAACCATCTAGATTGACATAATAAATGTACATAATTTGAATGAGCTATATTATACTAAGAAAATGGAAACTAAGTAATTATGTAGTAATGAATACATGCATAAGTAATCATGACACATTTCCATCACTATTCTTATGCATTTAAATAGTAGTAAAAGAACAAAGATTTTCCATTCGTTTGGTTTGGTTTGGTTTTGTTTTGTTTTGTAAAATTCTAATCGAAAAATTTAATAATGTCATAATAACTTGGGCAATGGGAATAGGAATTCATCGTCGTCATCTTTCAAATTTTATTTTTTTCTTTTATTTATTTCTTATTTTGTTTATCAATTCCGAAAAAAGCTTTATCTATATTTAGTTTCTGGAATTTTGCCTTGTTGGAATTTGTTTGATTGAGCTGATTTGTGTTATAGGTGCTTAGACTATAAACCATAAATTAATGTCCTCAAATCGTTAACTGATACATTAAATCTGACAATCTTTTCATTACTGTAATCTTTTTTGAAATTTGAAGTATTTCTGTTCGTAATGTTTAAACATTATGTTTTTATAATTGTTCTTAAAAAGAACCACGACCTTGATTAGTAAACAGCTCCTAAACAAATAATCTGAGAATCTGTAGTTCAAATCAAACCCTTTTCAAAAAGAAAAAGAATTGAAGTCGATTGGTTGAAAAATGAAATTGAAAAATCACAAAAACGATCTAAGATTCAGTTATAAAGTTACGATCATTTCTTTCCACACAAGTCAAAACTCCAAAACTATTTTTTCATTTATTTATTATCAAATGCTATTAAAATGAATAGTGAAATATATTTTTATTTAATTCATTTCTGAGTTTGGGGAAAAATTATGATTTATTATAGATATATTTCAAAATCACCTTTCAATAATCATCTCATTCTTGTTGTCATTTAATCATTTTCGAGTTGAATTTTATATACAAATGGGTCAAGATTTAAAGACTTTTTTTAAAATGTATTTATATATAAATATAAATAATATTTAAAGATATGACTTTTTGTAGTTTTTGTCTCTCTTTATCTCCTCGTTATCATCGTCCTTTTGGTTAAATTTATCTAATTTATTATAATTTATTTTTTTTTCGTAGTTTCACCTATATGATGCGTCAAATGAATTTGATTTGAGATTTTGTTTTGAAGAGGATTCTTTTGGTTTTTAATAATTAAAATGAAATCCAGTTCAAATTTCATCTGAAAATATATTTTATTGGCTATTGTTTTGTAAGACAATTAAGAGTAAAAATAGCAGAAATACAACATGTCTTTCTGTCATCAAGAACGACCATAAGAAATTTAAAAAAACCAACTCGTGCAAAAAATTGAAATTTTTTAGCTTTAAGCCAAACACGATTTCTTGAAAATTTCCACATCCTTAAATTCTAATTTAAAATACCGAATATTTCTCCAAAACAAAAACTCCATCGAATCATTTTTATGTTTCAAAAACTTTTTCTCGGTTTTTGTTTGTTATTATTGCAAGTTTTTTTTCGTAAAATGTTTTAAATCTTAATTTTTTGTCTCAATTTTGTCCACCAAAGTCAATTAATTTATTCATTTCACTTCGCATTTTTTTAATTTTTTTTTCTTTTCTAAGGCAAAAGTTGTCACTTTAAACTTTGAAGATGATTTTAACTTTTTTTATTCTTAAAGAAGATTTGTTCAAGAAATATTTACACGATTTTTTATAGCTTAAAGTTTTATTTTTCGTTATCAATAATTTTACTTCTGAGACTTTAGTAAGATTTTTTTTCTTTATCGTATTTTTTTAATTTATAATAATAATTTTTTACTATTTACAAAGATAGTAAACTTTTTGATGTATGGAATGAACTGAAATTTTAGAGATAGGAAATTTTTTGAACATATCGAAAGTAAAACCACAAAATTTTTTATTTCAGATTCAACATTTAAATTGTCAAACTTTCAAGATATGTTTAGAGCTTATCAAGAAGAATAAAATTCTTTTGTCATACAATTCAAACCTACAGAATTAGATAGTAAGATGCAGCCAACAAATTGTTTATAGCCATTTTTAAAAAATATTAATCAGTTGTCAAATTCTTTTCTTTTAATGACCAATGGCTAAACTTGAGATTTTAAACTTTCAAAATTGTAGTATTTCTTTTAAAGAAAAATTTCAAAGTTGGTTTTTACTTACACAAAAATTTTCCTATCGCTCAAATTGCACACCAAAAAGCTTAAAGGTAAGTAACAATTAAAAACAATTTTCTGTCTTCTTTTAAAAAATATGTCAAGTTTTACAAATGAAGAAATACAAATTTTTATTCATCGCAAAATTTCGAATCTGTTTTAAATTTAATCGAAATTAGAACATAAGCATTTTGTTTTAATCCTCATTTTAGTAGCTTAATCACTTGTTTTTTCATGTCATATGATTTTTAAAGGCTAATACTTTCAGTTTTTTCGATTTTTTCATTGAAATTTAACTTTGAAAACAGTTTATTTTATTTTCTTTCGTAAAAAATTCATTATTGTGAAGTTTTTTTTATTTTTTTTTTGTATTTTAATTAAATATTTTTTTATTTCCTTTATTAGTTTAACTAAGTTCATTCACTAAATTTAGGGTTTTTTTTGCTGAAAATTGGTTGTGGATTTGTAAAAATTAGCGTTTACTGAAAATAAACAATACAGAAAAAAGAAAAAAAAGAACAGAAACAGAGAAATTTAATTAAATATTCTAAAACTCTTCCTTTTTATTATTAAAATGTATATTAGCTTAATAACAAATGCAAATGAATTTATTTATAAATTATGTCTTAGTTCCAATGACATGAAAATGGTTTCAATAATTATTTTTGCGGAGTTTATGAGTTTAGCTTTAATTTTGGTTTCATGAGAAATTTCATGAAATATCAGAATCTACAAAACATTCAAAATTAAAATTTCCGTTAAACTCCTTATAAATAAGTACTTCCAAATCAATTTGTATAAATTTTATGTCATTGAATCAAACACATCTAAAAGTGAAAAATAAATGTTTATAAAAAAATGTTGTTTTGTTGTGTCCAATATGAATGTCTTCTAATAATATGTATTAATAATAATGTAATAAATTTATAAATATTAATACGAGATAGTTTATGAATGAAGCTAAATTATCTTTTTTATTATTCTATATTAAATGTATGATTTTAACGAAATGAATCTATGAGATCTATGAGAAGCATTAATGATTCTTTAATCTTTCATTTACTTAAGTATTTTTTTTTTGATATTCTATGAATAAGAATAAAAATAACGAAAATAAATTTTTTTTTATATTCTAAAACAAATTTTTAATTTCTTTTCGCAAAACAAGAATTTAAACTTAAAAAACAAAAATTTCTAAGCAATTTTGAATAATATTTTCAAATAGAATTGAGTTTACAAAACAAAAGATGTCAATCATTACAAGATTTTTGAAAAATTCCCATTTAATTTTCATTACCTAATGACTGACATCATAACTTATTATAACCTATAATAATTAACGGAATATTAAAATCTATAAAAAATTTGCAACATTCAACATTCTACTTCAGTGTTTCTTAAAGTTTCTCGAACGCGACACATTATATTTAAATTTTTTAAACACAAGTGTGTCGCGTACCATAGTTTGAGAAGCACTGTTCTACATACTGACATTCCAAGTTAAACAGAAATCGTCATTAGATTCGACATGAAAACTAATATTCATCTTTTGTTCTGAGAGTGATTGAGGTTTAATGCACATTATTGTGTTTGTGTCATTTTCAATTAGGTTAACAAAAATAAAATAAAAATAAAGAAAATAAATTTTTTATAATAACAGTCGCATAAAATGTGATTTAAAAAAATTCTTATCAGTTAAAAATATATATTTTTCTGTAACATTTTATTCATCTTTCAAACATTATTCACCATTCAACATTCAACGTCAATCACTTTATCATCTCTTGTGGATAGCTTAAATCTTTCTATATCTTCGTAATGTAGCTTTTAATTTGTAATAAGGCATTCTCAAGAGACACATTGGAATTAATTATTAACTGAAAGATAGATAAGTTTTGTTGAAGCGATTTTTAATCATTTTAATAAAGTTCTGAAAATTCTTCAGCAATTATTAATAATTTTTTGATCTTTGAAAGTTGTTTCGAACTCAGAAAATAAAATTCAAGAGCAATTTTCAAAAAATTCATTAGAATTCACTCAAATATTAAGTTTATTATGCTTCTTCAGCCTTGAACTAAGTCAAATTTGTTGAGAAAAAATTTAATTCGGATTCTGAAATGAATTTAATATTTTCAAATTGTCTTTCTTTGTTTAAATATTCAAATCTTATATGATAAAGTTTAAATTTATACTAAGTCCAAGAAATAAAATAAATCTTTAACCAAGTTGTAACTGCCTGACTGAATTTCACTAAACTTCCTGTAGTGTCTCTTGAGTCATGAACTTCCAAAAACAAAATAACGAAACAAAAAAATCAACAAAATCAGGAGAACAGAAACAAAAAAATCAACATTCTTTGTGTTTATGTTTTTTTTTCGGATAGAAATTGAGAAAGAAAAGAATCAAAACATACCTATTCTACTAAACAAATTGTTCAGGTTTCAAACAATGGCATTCAAGTAGAAATTCCGCGCGCAAAATGATAGGTTTTTTGGGTATTTCAAATGGGAATGTTTTTTTTTTTTTTGATAATATTTATATCATATTTTTTCGTTATGTATGTATCTTTATCTGTCATTTTTTTGGCGTATAAATGGATGCGATATTCTTTTTTTTTTGTTTATATTGCGATATATTTTCTTGCATATGAGTGGGTGTTGTGTGTGTGTGTATTTATCGATGTTTTTCTTTCATTTCCGAGATAGAAGTGAAAAATTAAAATGAAAAAATATCTTATGCAAAAATTTTCTCTCTGAAAATGGACATGACTTTGATGGAATGAAAAATCTTTTTCATAAATTTTCTTGACTTTGATAAATTTTTCATTGTTATTTTCTTCAAATATCATTTTATCTATTTTGAGAAATTTAAATTTAATTGTTTTTAATAAGTCATGTGAATTTTTCTTCATTTATTCTATTTACAACTATCTTTCACTATTTTTTTGATGTTAAGAATATTATGTTAAATTAAAAGTTGATTAATGCTGTGAATATTGGAACTAGAGGTTAAGAATTTTTCATCCACAAATACTTGGTTGGTGCTTTAAAAACAGTTTTGATTTGAATTCAAAATTTTTGCCAAGGAGAAAAAATTAAACGTGCTTTAAAATGTGAAAATTGTGTATTTATAAGATTATTTAGATTGTGTTGCAGGTAATAATTCTAAATTCACATAGAAACTAGTTCAAAGCATGACACAATCTAAAATAATTCATATCAACAAATCTAATTCCACTCTAGATTCTTTTTTAAATCAATCAAAAATAAAATGAACTTAAAAATAAAGCTTGATGTAAGTTTGTGGATGTTTGTAAAGTCAATCACTCGTTACATTTTAAAACTTTAAAAACTCAACAATTTTTTTTAATTTAAAAAGTTGCAATAGAATTATAATAAATTTGCTTATTCAAAGTGATTAAAAATGTAATTAAAATATTTTCTTCAATTATTTCATATAAAAAAATGAGAAAGAAATGGATAATTTAAAGAGCAAGAGTGATTGAAGAAAGTAAAAGAAGTTTAATATTAAGTACGTATGTTCATGGTATTTTTGTTTCGTTAATCGTTTGTTTGATCATAATTATCAGCAAAAGTGAATGAGTGAAGGAAGAAGTTTATAGAAATAGAGAGAAAGTGTTATTCTTTTTTTTAAGATAATAGAAATAACTTGTTCTTATAACTTCATTTTTTTGGTTGTTCATTTTGAAAAAAGTAATCGAAAAAATCAAAGTCCATTATCAATAAATATTAATGATGATAATAATAATGAGAATATTTCAATATTATTATTATTATTATTTAAATGTTTCGTATTGTTTTTGAATTTAATGAGTAGTGTTAGAGCTTAAGCGAATCTAGTGACGCGATAGAGGATCGTCTAGAACCTAAACCAATATTAGGTGTATGACTAGGTACCAGGCTGGTTGTTCCGAAGAGTTTGTACCATCCGATGACGATGTGTGAGAGATTTAGATTATCTAACATTATTTGAGCTACACCCATAAATACTTTTTTGCCTTCGATTCGTCCATAATCACCCCATACAGTGACCTAAAATGTATTCAAAATTCAGTTATCTCGTCACGCTTTTAGAACAGAAAATATTCTTACTTGAAGGATGCAGCCTTGAAACGGTTCACGAAACGCCAGCGTTTGTTGATAAAGTGGATCTAACGTTTTTCGAGCTGCGGCTGTTTTTGATTTTGCTATGCATTTTTTACCCGACACTAAATACACTTTTACGTATGGCGCGGGTAATACTTTTGATCCGGTACGTGCCTAGAAGAAGGAACAGAAATTTTTCATTGATTTTTTTTTCAAAAACCTTGAAAACTGTAGAAAATTGGACCAAATGATATTTATTTCATTTTTGATTTCTTTATTTTTAATTAAATAAGTTTTTTCATTACCTGTAATCCTCTCGCTCGTATCACTTCGACTTCTAGAAAGCCTTTTTGGTAGCATAGTGATAATTGAATATCACCTAATGCAGGAGCACCCAAAACTTGACGACCCACCAGCTGTCCTGGTCCTAAGCCATCAATAAATTCAGAAAGTTGACCACCATCGCTAACCATTCGTAGTGATGGGGACCATCTGCAGGTTTTTATTTGGAAATAAATGGATCGGATGGAAGAAAAATAAAATTTGTTAGAAAATCTTCATTTAAGTATGTATTCTACATAAATATGCTTATTTTTGCTCGATTTATTTTTTGAAAAAAAAGCAGACAACTAGAAATTAAACAAAGGATAAACAAAGGAATTTAAAATTCTAGGCTAAAGAATGAACTTCATTAGAATTTCTGGCTTTAATTTTTTTTATATTTAACATAATATAACGATTCTGTTAATCATCATTAGTCAGTCAGTAATACTGAAAAAAATCACATCGATTTTTTAAAAAGAAAAAATTTAAATTTTAAAATTTAAGTCCTTCTCGTTATACTAATGAAATCCATTTTCTATTTCTAAAATATATTATCTATTTTTATAATTTTAACGTAATATCCAATAACAGCAAAATATTTTTTCAGTTTATAAAAATGCATAAAATAATTAACAAAAGGAGAAAACATGACAAAAATGAAATTGTAAAGAATTAAAGAAAAAATGAGAAATAAAAAGCGAATAAAATGTGGGTGAAAAATGAGATTAAAATTAGTTTCTAAATGCACAGTATGGATCACTACAAGATATTAAGTGTCAAATTTTTATTTTTTCGAGCAGCTAAAAGGAAAGATTTGATTTTAAAAAATAAATAAAATGACGTGAGGATGATACGAAAATGTGTGAGAGAATAAACAATTTTACTCGATTCATGTAATATATTTTTGGATGCATAAAAACTTTTTAATGTCACGCTTTTTGATTTTTTATGAATTTAATTGAAAATTAATTTCTATTAATATTCTCTTAAAATTTTCACATTGAAAGGAGAACATTCGTTTGATTTTGATTACAGGGAGATGTAGATATATTATTACTTAATTTATATTTTACCACAAAATTTAAACTCCATTTATTTTATCATATTTTTTTCTTAACATTTAGGGTGCAAGTACGAAGATCAACAGTTTCTACAACAATTAGTTTTTTTTCGAAATCAACAAATGAGAAATTTTTCAATTTTACTAAAATAAAACAATTTTAAATTAAATAATTATTTAACAAAACAAAACAAATTCTTTTAGATCATTAAGATTGCTGATTATAATTGAACTTCGAAAAGGAAGAATATTAATAATCTTTAACATATAGAAATTCTATCTTATAACAAAAAAATCTCATTTCTTAATTAGAAAAATGAAATTACAATTTTAAACACATCTAACACAAATGTCATCCTTTTGAAACTTCTAACCGAAATCGAGAAAATCAATACATTAAGTCTTCTTCATTTATTTATATCTCGAAATAATGTGAAAATTTATAATCATTTGAAATTGTTTTCAAATGTTTTACTTTTTACTTTACCTATAAATACTATAATTTTAATCTAGACCTTAAAAAATGTCAATAGTTTTTAGATCGAAGAAAAAGATAGAAGTAAAGTGCATGTAAGCAAATGTTTGTATCAAAGAGTGAGAATAATAAATTTCATGATAGAAAAGAAATGATGAAAAGTCATTCTATCCCAAAGAAAGCTTGTTTATTTTAAAATCTCAAAAAGTTTTCTTTTGAAATTTTGAAATTTTGGTCTAATCTACTTAAGCTGAAAAGATATTTTTTTGCAAAGCTTTTGAAAAATTTTAGTAACATTTTTGATGCAATAATTGTATAAGCTTATGATTATAGATTAGTTATAAAGTTCACGGTAATCATTTTAATTTCAATGATTAGTGAAATTTAAATTTGAAAATTAAAAGTTTGCTTAAAATTTATGGAAATATGAATGGTAATGAGTTTTAGCGTTTAGTCAAACTCAGGCTCGCGCTCGTCTGATTAACCTGAGCTTTGTGTCATGTTTAAAAATCTAATCTTTAACATTTCAGAAATTAAAATTGTGATTTGCGGTTAGTGCTCAAATCGTAACAGTTTACATATTATCTGTAGATTAAAGAACATTATTACTTAAGAAATGGTCTGCAAATTTGGAAATCAATTTATTGATTTTCAGAACCGAGCTTCAAACCCAAGGATAGTTTTTTCAATAACTATATTCATAAGTCTTCAAAAAATATCAAAATCTGAGTTTCTAATTCAATTTCATGTCTTTTTAACAACTTTATCTATGGTAATTTATTTCGTGATCTAATCTATGTCTTTAATTTCATTTCTATTCTATTAATATCTAAAATATTTTTTTTTTCAAAAGCTTTAAAGTTCTTCATCTATGTAAAATTTCAAAACTGATAGAAAAGGGAATGGAAATCTTTAGTGTTGGAGAATTGAAAAGTGTATTTCAAAAATGGACACAAAACATCAAGATTTTTGAATTAGGTATTTCAATTAGAATCAAAAATTTTGAAATGCGTTAGAACAAAATAAGAATCCACAATTGAAAACTGAATAGTAACAAAAGAAGAGGAAAGGAAACAAAACACACATACACTTGACTGTATATGACAATATGGATAGATAAAAATTAGAGATAGACAAAGATAGAGAATTATAAAATCACACTCAGAATTTTAAAGTCCAAAAATATTTCAAAAATTGAACCAAAAATTGGAATAAAATGATACACAAAAACACACTTCGAAAGAGCTTTTTTGCTTTCATGTCAAGTTTTCAATAAAATTTTTAAAAAAATTCATTTAAAAAAAAGGTTTGCGGAAACGTTAAAGGCGAACACTTACGATGAGCCTTCTGAACTAGAAATTGAGTGCAGACTACCAGCTCGAGTCGGAACGACTTCTATTGAGCGCTGTATGGAACCAGCAGATGAGCGCTTACGTTGTGTAGTGACGCCTTGATCTATTGTGCATAATAATGAATATTTTTGCTAATTTTATGTCTATTTGTTTATTTTAAACTTCCATACAGAAGCATGGAAGTCGATTAAATTTGATTAAATATTTTTTTAAGTTAATATTCGAGTATCATGTCTGTATTTTTTTTATTGTGTCTTCAATTGAATGTCTGTTATTTTCTTTTTCTATCTTTAATGGTCCTACGTTTTTCATTTTTTCAATATCTTAACTTATTTTCCGCGATAAAAAAAAAAGATTTTTTAAATGTAATTATGATTTTAATACCCAAATGTATATGGATATTATTAATGGTCCTAAATAAGCTTTATAAATTTTTCTTAAAACATTGAATTGACTCTTTTTGTTTCTTAATCGCTCTAAATGTAAATCATTATCTTTTCGCTAAATTTTCTAACAATTCTTAATCATTTAATCATAACACAACATTTATTTGAACAGTTTTATTTCCATATCCTTAATTAAATATGTATAAAATGATAAATTGCAAAATATAACATTAAAATTTCACTTATTTACGACGACTTATTTTAAATATGAAGTAATAAATTATAAAAAGCAACTACAATTTCATAGATTTTGTGTAAACTCTTTGTATTTTTACTCTAAATCTCCCCGCAGTATTTTTAATCACATTATATTGTATGGGCATGTCAAATCAGTTCTCTATGTTTGTTTTTTTTGAAGAATCTGATGATTTCATTTGTGAAGTGATTTTATTTTCGAAATTGATAATTTTCTCGGACAGCAAAATTAAGTTTTGTATTTTTCATTTGAGAAGTAGTGGAAATATTTTAGATTTTTGAACAAGAGTACACCAAGAATTCATGAAATTTAAAAAAATCTTAAATTGATACAAATTTAAATTTTTTAAAGTTGTATGATTTCATAGAGGGGAAATGGGGGTTGTGATTATCCTTCACAATTAATTATTAAGACTAGTTTAACAAGAATGGAGGATTCTTTTGCATGAAAGAAAATCGATTTTACTATTGATGCTTAATTTATTAAAGAAATTTAAACATGAGCATTAAAAAATAATCTTTGTCTGGATTAAAAAACCTTCTCACAAGCTCTAAAAGATCAATACAAAAAATCATTTACTGTCCGAGGTGAAACTTAAAAATATGGATGATACAAAAATAAATTATTATATTACAATCAAAAACAAAATATAACAAAAATATTTAAATTAATTAAAGCAATACACGCAAATTAAAGTCACAAAATTTGTGAATGTTGATGTCTTTTTTTGAGCAGCAAGGATATAGAATTAGGAAGGTTTTAGTGATCTTATAATTGGTCAAGAAATTATTTTTTTTCAAACATCATGGAATAACATGATTTTTAATTCCAAAACTATTTGTCATAAGTCCACTAGATCATTTTTATCGTTTCCTCGGTACCCAAGCAGCAAAAAAAGACTCAAAATTCGCAAAACTAAAAATAAGTATCCTTAAATAATTAATATTTCCTCTAAATTGTAAATCACTAAGTTTTAAAAGAAACTCATAAAAAAGCGAACCTGTCGCCATCAGCACTGCCTTCACCATCGCTAGATGCGCTCGAGCCACGTGATAGCCCACCACGCATCTCGCCGGGCAAAACTTCTTCACTTCGATGTATTGTAAAAGAATTTTTACCCCTTTTTCCGAAGCCCATACGCCGTTTTCGACCTTCATTTGTCACACATAAACATTGGAATGATAATAATCACAATAATAATTTTTATAATTTTAATTTAATTCAGTTTTACAGCAAAATACATATTTTTTTAATGATAAACTATTTTTGAACGAATTTTTCAATTTTAAATCATTTAATTTGTTCATAAAAATGGAAAAATTTTGCACTACTGTTGGACCAAATTAATGCTTCAAACATTCTTTTTTATGTCGTCCGATTTGAAAAAAAAAAACTTCAATTGAATTTGAATTTAAGAAATGACGCGCATCTAATCTCATGATATTAATTAGCGTAACAAATACTTAATCTCTTACTTAAATTACCTGTTGCCGACAACTGTGATGTCGAATTGCTTTTCCGTCCCATTCCACTACTAGCACCACTGTTTCGATCTTGTGTTGACGTTTCGCTTTTTGGAGATCTTTGGTCCATTTGTTTACCACGTCGACCATCAAGGCCTGTAAGTCCGACAGCTGTATCACTTAAACTACCATCTAAAATGATTTTGAATGTTAGACATTTCATATTTAGATCAAGGTTTAGTTTCTCATCATCTTTTGAAGCACAATTGATGGTGAGAAACAGATCAAGAAACGTATCCAGTGAGTTCATTTCAAATATATATGATAGTTATTTTCCACTGGATACAACAACTGTTATTACAATATTAACCAACTTACCTATTCTATCTTCTATATTAGTATCAGTATTCGATAAACTACGATTAAGATTTCCATCTTTTAACTCACGATCACTTGCGTCACGATCTTGTTCACTATTTCGTTCATTGGTCCTATCATTTTTCTTGAAGGATTCGCGATGTCCACCTTCTAGATTTCTCGATCTTCTATCAAAGTCACTACTATTTCGTGGTGTTTTTTTCGTTTTAGGTGAGGATGTTGATTTTTTAAGTGAGCCGCGTTTTGGTTTGGTATTTAATTTAGCGATAGCATTGGAAGAAGCAATTTTACTTGATTTAGTTATTTTACTAGGAATGTTATATTCAAAATATTCGGGATTATCATTAATACTAACGGAACTATTACGAGTAATCTTACTACCAGTAGAACTCTTATGAGCACTGGGTTTTTTATTTACACCTTCAAGACTACTACTGCGTCTATGACTAGGAATGCTTTTACGATCTTTAGCGTGAAAAGAAGCATTTCTATCGCGATTAAAAGGCCTTTCAAAGACGTCATCGACAGTTTCATCTTCCTCATCACTTTTCTCATCAATCGAGCCTTGTGAACTTCGCGAATTACACTTTTGGAAAACATTCGGTTCTTCGTTTGTTTCCTTCTTTATATCCGAAAATGGATTTTCATTTTCAAAGCCAATTGCTTTTTCACAAACATATTTTGTAGATTCTGAAGCGTTAGCATTTATTTTTGGCGACACAACCTTTCCCTCTAATTCTACTTTGAGACTACTTCTACGCTCCTCTTGAACATCAAATGATATATCATCATTGCCAGCATCGCTTTGTGACAAAAGCAATTGAGATCGAACATTATTAATTATTGAGCCTATTGTATCGTCAACATGATAGTTATTGTTACTTTTAATCTTTTGATCAGTGGTATCGGTTGTGTTTTTATCACTTTTACTCTCTTTGTCATCTGTATTGCATTTTATTGTTGGTGATTTTGGTTTGTTTGAAAATTTTAAATCAAGCTTCAAACTCTCTCGACTGTAACTTCTTGGGCGCTGTAGCTTTTCTATATCCCCAGCTTTTTCAATCTTTTTTAATGGACTTTTGCGGACATTTTTAGCTACCCATCCGGTATCAGAATCATATTCAACACCAATGATTTGTTCATTAGCAATAAGAGAATAAGAGCGACGAAGTGCTGCTGACTCATCCTCAGATTTTAAATAACTTTTTGATAGATTGCACACCTCTCTATTATTTTCATCGCTTTGTCCATCAGCTGATAAACTTTTACCAAAGCGTGATGAATTTGATGAGAATTCAAAGCTTCCAGCATCAGACTCAATTGATGGAATTGTTTCAAATGTTGGTAAATAAAGTGATTGAGTGTTTCTAGCTGGCAATGGAATTTTAGGAAGTCGACGACGAACACCACGTGAGCTGCTAGAACTTGATGAAATTATTGAATTTGCTTTGCTGTTTTTATAAGTCAGTGGAAGAGGATCAAGTGGAAGTATCAATGGATCATCTAAGTACTGTACACTACAGTTGAAAGATTTATTTCCAGCATTTATATTAGTCATTAAGTTTTGATCAGAAAATGATGACTTAAGGATTATTTGATTTGTATTGTTACCAGTCTGATTTGAAATCACAATTGTCTGATTATTCACAGCACCATGATTATAGTCAACAAATCTTTTACTTCCATAATCATTTTTTGAAAGTAAATTTGGTTCTGATAATCGCGACCTTAATTGATGACGAATGTCATTTATTAAATTTTTTGGTTCACGGCTTAGTGTATTGGATGAGGAAGCTGAAGTGAGTGTCGATGGAATTGGTAAGTCATAGCTTGGGAATTTTTTATTGAAGCAATAGGTTCTGGGAACGTTACTGCTTACTAGTGGGCTACTATGGTATATAGCTTTAAGTGTTTCAGGAATTTTCGGAATAGATATTGTAGTTGAAGCTTGTGGAATGCTTTCAGCAAGTTTCATTGATTTTAAAAATTCACTTTCGCGTTCCGTAAAGACTTCGTCACGAAACCATGAAATTGGAAGGCTTCTTTGAAGTGATCGTCTTTTATATAGTTTTCTTTTTGATTTGAGTTTATTATAAAATTGAAGTTTTAAATTTTTTTGTATTCATCATTTCAAGTTTCAACTCACCTTAATCCTTTCGAACCTCGCGGCCTTTCAGATTGCGTTGAAAAGGCACTCGATGTGACACTTACAACAGATTCCATATCTGAATCTCCAAAATCACCTATTAAGTCTTTATCTGGCGAAAGAGAGGCCTTTGGTCGTAACCGCGTCTCGGCATTTGGTAAGTCACTATCGGAAAGTCCGGAGTAATGTCTTTCCCATCCTTAAGCGAAAAACATTTTTTAAATTATTAGTTTCATCAGTTTAATAAGTTACAAATAATTACCTCCCGCACCCGTACTCCTATATTGTGGTATGTGATATCCTTGTCGTACACGATATCTTGATCTACCCATCGAACGCTCCTCAAAGTCTTGCATCAGTCGATCTCGTATGGCGGGATTTCGTGATATTTGAGGTACTTTTGGCAATTGGCGCTTTTTCGGTGAACCAGTTGGCGTTGCTGTTGCTGAACGTGATTGAAATTTTTGTGGAAATGATTGTTGCTGTTGTAATGGAAGAACCGGGTAGTCTTTGGAACTTGTTATATAACGATCATCTGGTGGTGATAATGAGCCACGTCTTTCACTTCGATAATCACTTGGCGCTGCTGATTGACTCCTATGACTCATTGACATCTCACCTCTTCGTTGTACATTTGACTAATAATGAAGAAATTTATGACAAAATCTTGAGTATTAATGAAAAACGTCAAACTTACTTGCTGATAACTATGTGATCCACCACCAATACCTGATACAGTTTGATAGTCTCGTGATACCATACCAGCAACTCGTTTACGACCTTGTGGTGACATATCACGTCGTGAACGACGTTCAATCAAATCAACCTAAGGTGTAAAAATGAATGGAATAAGAGAAAAAAAAAAATAATTTATGTAGCGTAAAACTTTTTTTAGATTTTTTAACTAGCACTGTATTTTTGATGTAAAATTTGAGACTTTCTAGAAAGAAATTTATGAACTTGTTGGAAGAGTAAGTTGGACTTGAAGAGGTAATTCTTATTAGAAAATGTATGGCTGTTATATTTTTTTTATATAAAAAACTACACAATTAATACAAAATAGATCTAAAGCGATAGTAATCTTGTTAAGCAGAGTGAAAGCATTATTGATTAATTTGAGAGAAAAAACAGAATAAAAAAAATGTAAAAAGAAAAAATCGAAACATAAAAAATGTGCTTTCTTATAAATAGAATAAAATGCTAATAGAAAAGAATGTCATTGCATGGTCTTTTAAAAGTTAGGATTAATAGATAAGGAACTGGTATTTAAATCATAAAAAGCATTAAGCAATATCAAAATTATGTCTAAATTTCAAAACAAAACAATTGCATGCAAACAAAGTTTTTGGATATTATTAATTTTTGTATATGTGAATTTTATCGGGTCCGTATTCTTATGTCCACTGGCTTCTTTAACTCATTTAAAGTGAGAAAAATATTACACACATTAAAAAATGATATAAATTTATTGCTCTTCTTACCAAAAAAAAGTTCAAAAGAAAGAAAAATAGAATAAAAACATTTTAAAGTCGGTATTTAAGGAAAACCTATAAGAGAACCTAATTCCTTAGCAAATGAAGTCATAAATTGGTTAGAGTTAAGATTAGCTACGTTTTTGCAGCATAGGTCAAATAAGGCTGCACATTTTGTCAACATAATTGAAAACTAAAGCTATATTAGCGTCAGATGACTATAGACCAGTGTTTCTCAAACTTATAAACACGGCACAATTTTTTTCATAAAAATTTTCGAGGCTCACATTGATAATCTCGAAGAACACTAAATGATTTTCATGACTTTCTTGAAGTCATGTGTCGCGTCACACAGTTTGAGAACCACTGCCTTAGACATTCAAAATATTAGATTTCTGGCCAAAGTTGATGTAAAGCTTGATAAGATCATACGTTTCTACCCAATCAATCTGGGCTATGAAGATTGAGTTAATTTTTTTTAAAATATGTATTTTTTGGATAGCAATAATTGCTTGTCTTATAACATTCATTTGCTAAGGAATTCGAAGTAAAAATAAAAATGTAAAATTTCATTTAAAACAAATTTACATAAATTCACTAAATAAAATTTGTGTGTTCAAAAAGGTCATTATAACATTACAATTAATATCATAATAAACAGATATATAACAACTGAAATAATTATAATTATAAGTATTCAAAATGCGTGAGAGTGTGTATTGAAGGGCATAGAAAATGCACGCGCACACATATAAATTCATATAGAAATAGATAGATAGATAGATTGACTGTTTATGACATTTAGAATATTATTTGTATCCATGTTTTTTTTTCATTGAAAGTTTTGTATTAGAATGTACCTCAGGTGGAGGACTTGAGGAACTACCAAGCGATGAAATACTTGCACCATCACGGCCCGTAGTTAAACCATCAATATCACATTCTGATGTATCTGAATCACTAAGTCGAGACGTTGTGCTTGGCGGTGATAAATGATCCGTTGGTGTGACTATATCTATTTCGTGACCAGTTGAATGATGATGATGAATATGATGATCGTCAGACTTATGATACTAAATTGTTTGGTAAAATGAGAATATTTGAAAAGTTTAGTAAAATTTATGGAATTTTGGTTTTTTTTTTTAATCCATACAACATCAATTTCCACACATAGAGTTGAAAGAGGGAGGTTTTTTGTGTTTGAACGATGATTTGGATAAATAATGTAGTGTTTTTGTAAGAACTTATAATAAATCTTAAATTTCGAATGATACAATGCTGAAACTTTTAGTGTCTGACACAAGAGTCCAATTTAGCATTAAATTTGCTAAGCTTAAAATTAATTTTTGTTTTAAAGAATTTCATTAGAAACTTATTAAATTTCATTTTTGTATCAAACAAGATTAAAAATACAATTAATAGAAAAATTCATTAATATTCTGTGTCTGTCTGAAAAGAAAGCACATCAACTACAAAGAAAGTTTGTTGTTTTTCACTTTTTTGTTCGTTTCTAAAAATAAAAATCGAATAAAAAGTTTCTTTTCTTAATCATAAAGGAAAAAAAGAAATTATTGAAAAAGCAAGAAAAATTATTTTCACAAAAGTTGTTGAAAAAAGTAAAAATAAAATTCTGCTGCATAAAATTTTAGTTAAAGTAACGACAAAGAAAGGAAATGAATAAAAGAGTGTGTACAAACCGTTCCAGGATATTCTTGATGTTGCTGCAACATATACCACTCGGCTTCATCATCGAGCGGATGATTGTGCAAATCTACTACAATTTCACCTAAAAACTCATGCACATCGTAACGAACATAATCCCAAAGTGTTATCTGTTAAAGATTTATAGAATTAAGTTTAGGATTCAATTAAAATTTCATAAATACTCACTTCAAGTAAACGATTAGTTAAATCGGCTCGCCTTAAACCCGTAAATGTAAATGTTTGACCCCAGCGTGGCTCATTTGTACTAGCTAATGTTTTCGTTCGTCGTTTGGATTTGTCGGAATGACAAGGAAGCAAGAATATCTACAAATATTCAATGAGAGATAAAACATAAGTTCTTGAAATAATGAGAAATAATTTAAGCACATACTTTGGCATAAGGATTACGTGCAGCTCCATTTGGTCGGTATGTTAAGTCAGCAGCACACACAATTGTTAAAATAAGTTGCAATGTACTCGATTCAAAGCCCAATTTTATTTGCGTACGACCACCAACGTTTGGATCGATTGAGCCTGATTGCATCAAGCGCCTCTGATATCGTCCTAGAGGTCGCTTTGAATGAGCTGTGGGTTGATGTTTTTGTTGATAATTAAAATCCGGCGATCCTGGTGATGTCACCAATACACTTGGCTTGTCACGTGCATCAAACGGTTCTGCATTGATTAAGATTAAAAAGATTAAAAAAATTTTATTAAAAATCACATTTTTGGCTTAAAATTAGAAAAAAAAATTCATTAGCGTCGCATAAAAAAATTGCGAAAGGTTAGTTCCTAATATTGAATTCTTGCATGATGATGTGTAGTGAGTGTTAATATTGTGTAGTTGTGTTTGTGTACTGTAGCTGTTCTGTATAGGATTTGTTTTCAAAAAAATCTCGTTTTATATAACAAAAACTAAAGTTTCGTTGCTCCCCATTTAACTTCCACGTAAAAAATCACGAAAGTTTTCTTTTTAATGTCTTTCAAAAAAAAATTATTTTCAAGCAAAATTTTTTATCAAATTAATTTTAAAGTTTTTCCACAATTTTTATGTTTTTAAAAATTTTTCAAGTGCGCTACCTTTTTGTAGATATTGTCGAGTTTGTCGTATTGGTGAATGCGATTGTCGCCAGGAAGTTTGAGCAGCTTTACGATTCACGCTCAACGGTCGTGATACAATTAATTCTATTTGTGACTCATGTCGACTCTCTTCAATCACATCGTACACTTCTTGTGCACTTTTGCCTTGCAATGAACGACCATTCCACTCAATCACTTCATCGCCTTTTTTGATTTTTTTTTTTGGGTTTTTATTTCATTTTTTTCGTCGTGTTTTTTTTATAGAAAATTGAAAAGTTAATGTAAAGAAAAAAGAACGGAAAAAAATTAAAATTATGTTGTGACACGAAAACAAAACATGAAATAAAATAACGAAAAAAAAAACATTTAAATATTTGGATATCTACAGTCTATAGCTAAAGAATAAAATATTAAGATGAATTTAATGATTTATGATTATGATGCGAGTAGATTGACATATGAAGTTCAACTATGTATGTAATTTACAACGATGGGATCACAATCGTTTGGAAAATTATCAACTATTCACAAGAACTTTTATAAACTATTTATAGTTTTAGACTTAGTCAGTTTAACTTTTGGATTATGTCGGATTCATAAAAAAGCTCTGGTTTGATGCAAAATAAGTCATATTGTCGCATCAATTGGAACAATATAAAATGTCAATAAAATAATTTCATAGATCCAGTTCTAGCATTTTAACTCATTCGCATTATCATTCAAGCATCAAAATTTGGTGCATCAATTAAGCAGTGAATATTTTTCCAAACGACGATCGCAAATGAATGGAACTAATAATAAAGCGCAACAAACTTAATATAAGGGTCAGTTCAACAAACGAAATTAATAAAAATAATTATAATATTGATCATGTTTTCTTACCCACTCTCAAGTGTCCTTCTTGCTCAGCAATAGATCCACGTTTAACTTTTTCTATTATAGCACCTTTGCGTGTTGATGACAATATTTTGCCACCAATAATTTTTAAACCTAAAATATCTTCGCCATCAATATTCTTTCTCAATATCATATGACCAATCATTCGCTGACCATCTGCTGACACTTGCCAACTTACAGGATTCTTTATTTGTTTTTGCACATTTTGTTGATGCAAGTTTTTTTTTGGATCGATAAATTTATCATTTTGTGGCACGATTAAAGTTGATTTAATATTTCATAGCAAAGAAAAATTCATTTAATTCGACCAAAAATCGTAAAAAAATTTTATTTGGCGAACACACAAAAATGCGATGTTTTTTTTTTATGGAAATCGATGATGATTTTACACGAATAAGTAAGAACACAAAATTTATTTTTGGTAGGAAAACAGGAAGAAAAAAAGAAGAAAAAATTTTGTTCTTAAAAGATCTCTTAATATTGTTATTTGTGGAGTCAAGGTGGGAATACTTGTGGAATTGAACTGACGCTTTTTGTGAAAATCTTTTATTACAGATTAAAGGTTGTGTCACAATATTTTGAACTAAATCTAAAGAGAAGTGTTTGAAAGTTTCCAAATAGTCAATTCAGTTTAAGATTTCTATAAGGATTGTATTCCATTCAGAAGGTCTTGGTCTGTCATTTAATACAATATTAAAATTTGAAATTTTTCGTTTACAACATGGATTCACTGAAACCAATCAAAGAAAATTGACTGCAAGTTTTCATTAACTTTTATTCAGAAATACACTAAAACAGTAATCAAACTGATTCATTTATTCCACAAGTATGAAAACCTTGATTTGTGAATCTATACAGGCCAATTCAAATATATAAAAATAAATAAAATACATAAAACATTGTAGTGATTCACATTTAGACACAATAAGAAGAAGAAGAAGAAGAGAAATCATAAAGTGGGGGTGGAATTGAGAGAAAGGAAGATGGAAATATTATTGAAGTAAAAAAAACTCAAACATGTGAGAAGATGAAAGATGTAGTTCCTTCCATATGAAAAAAAAACTTTTGAAGGCAAAAAGAAAAAAGTTTGTCGTCTGTTAAAGATAGAACACACATACTTCTTATTCTTTAGTGATATTTTTATATCATTTATCGTAATAATAGAAAAAAATAGTGATATTATTAATTAAATTTATCATTAATATAAAATATATGTTATCTCATGCAGCAGTAGCAAAAAGAACACTTAGCGCATATAAATTCAGTAATAGAGTAGAAAGTAAATTAATTAGATAGCAGTGCATGCAACAAACTAGCAAATTAGCAATAGAAAAAGGCTTCATTCATTATTTTCCTAGATATTATTTCTTTCTTCTTCAAAGTATTTGCTGCTGCTTCCATATTGAGTCATCGTATTTAAAAGAGTTTTGTCCTCAAATTTATGCATTTAATAGTTTTAAATTTGACATTATTTTTCTCAAGCTAGATGTTTTATGAGTTTGCATATATTGTAGTAACTAGCTTTGAAAATTTTTTGTGCTTGGAGTAACTTAATAAGTTTAAACTAACCTTTAAATGAATTTTAATATCTTAAAGATTTTATTAAGAATGAAGGTTTGAGACAAGGATGAGTTAAGCTCAAAATTGACTTAAAAGTTTGTATGAAGTCTTGAAGTAATAAGCAGGCAGATTAAGATAAAGTAATAGAAGTCATTATAATTTGATAAACATATCCTCATTTTGTTAACAATTACTCAATATAGAAGCTTCAAATTAATGAAAAAAATTAGCAAAAATAAACTCATCGCTCTAAGAGCCTAAAAAAATTATTATTTTCAGCCTGAATGTCTGTTTTTAAATCTAATTTTTGAGGGGACACAAGATGAAGGAGGGAAATTTAAATTATTTTCAGATTTGAAATGCGGAGACACAAACACACTTTGTGATTTACAGCTCAAAATTTTAAATTTTCAGGACTATCCCTTAGATTCACAAAACATAATCTTCAAGGTGAATCCCTTAACAAATATAAGATTTAAAGCTAAAATACAAATTGTGTTTCAAATCTGAAATTTTATAATTAAAAAGTTCAGAAGAAAGGAATTTTTGATTTTTTTTTTCAAATTAATGAAGTCAAGTAAGTCTCGTTCATAGCCAAAGGAGATGGTTTTACAGAGAATGTCTCTATAGATTGTTTTCAATTTATAATACCTTTGGTCCATCACCACGATTAGAATCTTCACTGCTGGTAAATGTGCTACTTGTATCAATTCCCGAATCTTTAGTTGTTGAGTCTTGACTCTCTTGCCGTTCACTTTCCCAACGAGAAAATTCATCAGAATCTTGTCCGTCAAAGCGCACAGTTTTCTTTCTACGTTCCGTAAATCTTCGATTATCACCTGCTGATTGCTCATCCACATATGGATCGAGTGTATCACTTAAATAACGATTATTTGAATAATAACTGTACGAGCTACTACCACTATTCGATTGATTGAGTATGGCACTGGTTCTATTGTTATAATTATAATTATATTGTGATGACGACTTCGTTGGAGATGTCGCTAAAGTCGGATGATTGTGGTGATGATGGTGGTACGCTAGATCATCAGCATTATGCAGTGATTGGTCATGAATATGTGATGATGGAAGAGGATTTGTATTATGATAGCTATTACTACCTAGACGATTATTATTATTATTGTTACTATAATTATTATTGTTATAAATATGACTTGAGTGATTAACACGATTGTATTGATTCTTTTGATGAATATCCAGCTTTGATGATGATGTTATTGTACTTGATATTGGTTGCGATTTCGCCAGCGATATTCTTGAGTCTCCGACTATATTTGTTGTAGTTGATGTTGGTGATGGTGGATAATTTCTTTTCGATGTTGATGATGATGTCGATGATGGTGCACCATCAAAATATTTCCATGCTATTTCAGAAGAAATGGTTTTGTTCGGGTTTAATTCATTTAATTTTTTTGTGGGTTTTTGCTATCGTTTTTAATTTTTTTAGATTAAACAATTTAATTGTTGATATTTTCGCAATCTTTTAAAGTTAAATTTTTCTTTTTAGAATTGCAAGTCAATTTTAATAATTTTTTTTTGTTAAATGAAAATTTTTATTTTGAAGGGCTATTTTGCGTTAGTATTTCAAACTAAAACATCACAGCTGTTTTTGAATTATTTCAATTTTTCTGTTATTACCGACACATACACAATGACGCTCCTGGGGTATTCAAATTTAATTTTGTTAAATAAATCATAACAATAATGAATACCTAAAGTGAGTGATATTTTAGAGTTCTTTATGAAAAACGAATCGTAGAACAATAACTATATTCTAATGAAGTTTAATTGTTTCTAGTTGTATTACTTTCAATGAATACAAAACTTCCATAAATTGTCAATATGCACTGATGAAAGTATTAATTAATTTTCTTTATGTTCTTGAACCCCAACGATATAATATTATTATGTACATTTAAAGACAATAGAAAAGGAGATAGAGGATTTTATGAGAACATCGAACAAACTTTAAATATCCAAATGAATAATAGAAGGTCATAATATTGACGTATGGACTGTGGTTTGTACAAATACATTTATAAAAGGATATACAGAGAACAATTCAATTTATGTTTGTTGACATTTTTTAAGGAGATAAAATAAAAGACACATGAAAATACAAAAATAGACAGAGAGCCGAGCGATTGGAGAATAAATAAAAATGTTTTTTCTGTGCTTGCGTTTTGTGTGAAGAAGAAAAAAAAATTAAAAAAATTCTGTTGTCAATAAATAAAGCTTTATCAGATAAAAAAAAAAAACAAAAGATAAAATAAGATTTTGTGCATCAAAAAATAGACGGAATGGAAAACAGAGCTGAAGCCTTTTCAGTGCTTAATTGATAGAATCTTCAACTCTCTTTTCAATCATCCTCTTTCATCAATTTGCCATCACCATCACATTCAAAAATAGAGGAAATAAAGATAGTCAGGAGGGTGTTATGGGCGTTAAAATAAAAATTATTAAAAATATCTTTGAAAAATATCTTTGAAAAATTTGTGTAAATTAAGACATTTTTAGTATAGCATGTTAAATAGCATTACTTGAAGTAGATATTGGATGAAAATTACATTTTTTTAATGTTTAACCATTTATGAATTCTCAAGTCTTTAGATTAGGTTCCGAGTTTTTGTAATATTACCTTTTAATTAATATGAAAAATATAGCATAAAAATAGCTCGACATGATAATAAGCTAAAGCACAGTTAACTGTCCTCTATTAAACTGTACCCTATGCACAACAAAGCTAAAAACCCAGATCAAAGAACACTTCTTGTAGCACTTTTCATGAAATGATCTCCAATAAAGTAATTGGAGAAGAAATGGGAAAAAATATTTTCTTTTCATAGAAATACTGCAAATAAGTCAGAAAGAATATAAAAGGAAATTAAAGGGAGAGGGAGAAATATGGGAATTAATAGAAGAAGAGAAGGTAGAACAATTAAAGCAAAATTAAATTTTTACACTTACAAAAATTTGTGCTTGATAATTTAAAATTACGCAATAATCACAAATTATTAAGCACACATTGCATTTCCAAATTTTTTTAAGGCCACACTTAAAGTTAAATTAATTCTCATATTTAAAAAAAAATAAAAACACAAAGCGAATCAGTTTTTCTTTTAATTTCAATTACCGCTAAAAAACTTTTTATTTTTTTGTCTAAAAAGTTTTGATTTTTTGAAACATCAGATGATGATGAAGATGGCGTTGATGCTTTTCTATCTACTTTTATATTGTCGCCTATAAAGTATTGATATGATTTTTAGTACAGTAAATTTTGAAATAAAAAATTTTATTCGAATTTTGAGCCAAAGGATTTTAATTGAAATTTTGATTTCGAAATAATTTTTTGAATTTCCATGTTTTTTGTTGAATGAATTTAAATTGTATAATCAACAGATAATAAATGAGTTTGTTTGTGTTTTAAACCAAAGTAAAAAAATAATAAAGAATTAAAAATGTAGTTTCTTTGAAGAATATCTTTCATTTAAATTGCACTTATATTTTTTAAAAATTTAAATTCAGATTGAGATTAAGCATATTTTTAAAAAATTTAATTAAGTCTTGAATGAAAACATAGAATGCCATAAATATATCCATTTCACATATTTCCATCGTTGGTCTGTAGCTATTAATATATGAAAGGTATGATTATGACAGTGTATAGCTAAGGTAAGGTTTTGAAAATAATTTATTTTTTGTTGAAAAAAATTACAACATAATAATTATTATAGATTGGGAGAAAGCAACATAAACATGTATATATTTTTGTAAGTATATTCAAAAGGTACACAAACTGTTAAAAGGCATCATTAACAATGACAATAAAACTAGACGTGTTACTTAAAATAAAAATCCCCAGCTCTCCTCTTCTTTTTCACCTGATTGTATTTAGTATATTGAAGTGAATTGTTATATATACACAAAAATTAATGAAAAGAGAGAATATTATCAAATTACATTATATTGTAACAATTTTATACTTCTTTGTCGTCACCAACAAATGTTTTCTTCTCTTTTTTTGCAAAAGTGTAAAATACCCCCTTTATCAATTTCGGTTACTTAGTATGTAGCAAACAAAATGCAATGAAATAAAAAGTGTGAAATGTGTTAAAATAAGAAACAAAAATAGAACAAAAAAAAATCGAAACTAAAATGAGAAAACAAAGAAAAAGAAAACAAAATAATAAAAAGAAATCTGAAAAGCCTTTTGACCTTGTTTAAGTGCTACTGTCTTGGAAATTCTTCTTCGTTTTAATAAATTTAAAAGTTTGAAAAATGTTGATACGGTTTGTGAGGAAAGCGCAATATTATAATATTAATATTGTTAATAATTAGGATATTTTTTGGATTTACGACAGATAAGGCATTATTTTAGAATTTTTCAGAAATTTGGGGATATTTTGACTTTTAAACACAATTGCTACAGTTTAAATTTTTAATTAAAGAAATAAATATTTGATGTCTGATTCTAGGGATAGTCGGATACTTGACAAAAATTAAACTATTTTGGTGACATTTTAAAAATAGTTGTAAGAGCAGGTTTATACATGCATTTGTATTTCAATGTATAACCAAACAAAGTGATGACCAACCCATGTGACCCGGCACACATGTGTGTCGCAAAAAATCCGAAAAATCTCATGAACAGTATATTATGTACGGTCCTCCTAAGATGTGCCGTGGCACAAAAAAGGTTGCCCACCACTGACCTATACGATGATTCGTAACTCGTAACAAAATAATGACATTGAGTAGTAAATAGAATAGAGTAGAATAGAATAATAGCGATGGATTGAAATAAATCAATATAAGGCACAATATATGATGTTATAATTATAAATATAATATGCTTGTCTCACAAATCGATTCTTATAGATTCTTTCTTTTTCAAAAGAAAATAAGCAGAGATTAAAAAATAAGAAATAAATAAAATACAAAAAAATTGAAATTTAAAGCAAAAGTTCAGTTGATGTCGTTATTAAATTTTTTTTTCTCTTAATCTCTGAGGAATGACATAGACAGTCCCGTAATATGAAACATCTTATGCTTTTGAAGCATCATCAAAAATTTATGCATATAATTTGAGTCTTATTGCGATTTCCATTCGATGATTTTTCAATATATGTAGATTTTTTTCCTAGCACTGTTTGCCATTCGCTTGGAAACTGGCAATGGGGAGCAACTCGAGACACACACAAATTTATAAGGAATAATCAAAAAACAAAGAAATTATTAGAAAAATTGTCTGAATGGACAAAAATATTAAAAACCAATTTTGAAATAGTTTTTTTCCTTCGATTTTTATATTTTTTTATTGATCATGTTTTTCAAGTTTGAATGATAACGTTGGTGAAAAACAAACTAAAGCTTTAATTAAGATCAAATTAAAATAAATCTGTTTATTTAAAAAAATTTAAGAAAAAAATTAAAAACTTTAGAATTAAAACCGAATTTTTCTAAATTTCTGCTTTGAGTGTATATTGTGTATGTGCTGCATTTTGATTCCGTAAATTGATTATAAGTTCATAGAAAAGATATATATATATATAATAATTAATGATAATAAGTCCTGGCATAAAAAAAATATTAAGTGATGGAAAATTTTCTGGAGCACCCTCAGCCAATAAAATAATTACGTGATTTCAAGCTTCCATTTAAGTGCATCATGATGATGACTTTTTACCTTCACATTTATGCTAATTATGAAAATAAAAGTTTTTTAAGATATTGTGGTATATCAACAATTATGATGTCTATGTAAAAATAATTATAGAAGGGTCTTCAAAACTCAAATTATTCGCTAAGTACTTAAATCACAAGTTTTACACTAAAATGAATCAATTAAGCGAATCACATCACTCTAGCCAATAAAGAAATATGCTTGAAATGCTTTTCCTATCTGAATGACTTTATAGGAAACGTGATTTGTATGTTGTCAATTTTAATCAAATTATTTGAACTCGTATGGAAAAAAATATATTAAAAATCAGCTGACAGCTCAATTAAAAAAAAAAAGAAATTGAATAAGTTTAAGTTACAGGAAGTTTAAGTTTGTACAGCTTCAATTTGTCATTATAAAAGTTGTTTAGATTATTTATTTTGTGCAATTTTCAAATGAGTGTCTGAGCATTGGCCTAAAATTAAAGTGATAGATTCATAATAAAAATTTTTTTAAAAAGAAATATTAAAGTTCTGATTGATGTTCTCTTTTCGATAAACAATATGAAGAAAGTCGTAAAGGACAATTTCATATTCATTTGAAAATTGCGGCATCATAATTAAAATTATTTTAACTCATTTTATGCTCGTTTTCTTCTCATTTGTCGAGCACAGCAGCAGAACAAAGAAAACAAGAAGAAAA